TCACCTGCCACAGTTGACCTGCCACAGTTGACCTGCCACCGCTCACCTGCCACAGTTGACCTGCCACAGTTGACCTGCCACAGCTGACCTACCAAAGCTGACCTGCCACAGTTGACCTGCCACAGCTGACCTGCCACAGCTGACCTGCCACAGCTGACCTGCCACAGCTGACCTGCCACAGCTGACCTGCCACAGCTGACCTGCCACAGCTGACCTGCCACAGTTGACCTGCCACAGCTGACCTGCCACAGCTGACCTGCCACCGCTCACCTGCCACAGCTGACCTGCCACAGCTGACCTGCCACAGCTGACCTGCCACCGCTCACCTGCCACAGCTGACCTGCCGAAGATCACTCATTTAAGGAAGTAAAGCAGTCAAATGGACGTTCCAAAATAGACACACATATACAATAGGGAGATACAATAGACACACATATACAATAGGGAGATACAATAGACACACATATACAATAGGGAGATACAATAGACACATATGCAATAGGGAGATACAATAGACACACATATACAATAGGGAGATACAATAGACACACATATACAATAGGGAGATACAATAGACACACATATACAATAGGGAGATACAATAGACACACATATGCAATAGGGAGATACAATAGACACACATATGCAATAGGGAGATACAATAGACACACATATACAATAGGGAGATACAATAGACACACATATACAATAGGGAGATACAATAGACACACATATACAATAGGGAGATACAATAGACACACATATACAATAGGGAGATACAATAGACACACATATACAATAGGGAGATACAATAGACACACATATACAATAGGGAGATACAATAGACACACATATACAATAGGGAGATACAATAGACACACATATACAATAGGGAGATACAATAGACACACATATACAATAGGGAGATACAATAGACACACATATACAATAGGGAGATACAATAGACACACATATACAATAGGGAGATACAATAGACACACATATACAATAGGGAGATACAATAGACACACATATACAATAGGGAGATACAATAGACACACATATACAATAGGGAGATACAATAGACACACATATACAATAGGGAGATACAATAGACACACATATACAATAGGGAGATACAATAGACACACATATACAATAGGGAGATACAATAGACACACATATACAATAGGGAGATACAATAGACACACATATACAATAGGGAGATACAATAGACACACATATACAATAGGGAGATACAATAGACACACATATACAATAGGGAGATACAATAGACACATATACAATAGGGAGATACAATAGACACATATACAATAGGGAGATACAATAGACACACATATACAATAGGGAGATACAATAGACACAACATTACACAGGAGGAGTATTACGAGTTGTAGGCACCAGGATCCTCTACCCCGTGCTGGTGCCATCAAGGACACACCGCGTCTGTCGTCATAGAGAAGATCGGCGCCCGTCAACACTTTGTTGTATGGCAACGTAACCGAACAGAAGGCACTGCAACCCAACACTTTGGGAAGTGTAAGTGCGGCCGCTGGTGGCATGAAGCGCTGCCTTGCTACAAGAGGCAAAAAATATTATTTCAATAAAATCATTTTTCTTATCTTTATTAATATTTAATCTTTTCCTCTGAAAGTGGACTTGTTTTCCCCAGCGGCAACTCACCGCACAAGACAAAGTTGTCAGTAAGTAGTTCCCCAACAACCCGCGCCTCCCCCGTAACCCCCTGAGAGTACAGGCGAGGTGAAGCCGTCCTCCCCTGGTGTGAGTCGGTCCAGTGTTGCCCCCAGGAGACAGGTGTGTGGATGGTCTAGTGGAAACTGTGACCACTTGACCCCATTAGCATTAATACTCTCCCAGTGAACTTGTGGGCCGAGCACTAAGGTCACCAATCACCAGTGAAGGGTTAGTATAAATGATCCGGGTAGATAGTGAGCGTTGAAGCAGTTCCTGGATACATACAAATTAACTACAATAAATTCTTTTAAGAACATTTATATATATATATATATATATATATATATATATATATATATATATATATATATATATATATATATATATATATATATATATATATATATGTCGTACCTAGTAGCCAGAACTCACTTTTTGGCCTACTATTCAAGGCCCGATTTGCCTAATAAGCCAAGTTTTCATGAATTAATTGTTTTTCGACTACCTAACCTACCTAACCTAACCTAACCTAACTTTTTCGGCTACCTAACCAAACCTAACCTATAAAGATAGGTTAGGTTAGGTTAGGTAGGGTTGGTTAGGTTCGGTCATATATCTACGTTAATTTTAACTCCAATAAAAAAAAATTGACCTCATACATAATGAAATGGGTAGCTTTATCATTTCATAAGAAAAAAAATTAGAAAAAATATATTAATTCAGGAAAACTTGGCTTATTAGGCAAATCAGGCCTTGAATAGTAGGCCAAAAAGTGAGTTCTGGCTACTAGGTACGACATATATATATATATATATATATATATATACATATATATATATATATATATATATATATATATATATATATATATATATATATATATATATATATATATATATACAAGAAGGTGCATTGGGATTGTGAGGATACATAGTATAGTAATTACAATCTTGTAAAGCCACTAGTACGCGCAGCGTTTCGGGCAGAAGTAAAAATGAAGGTAACCGCAAAAGGCCTACTGGCACATACGAGGCAGCTCCTATTTATATCCACATGTCTCATTCATGAATATGTCTAACCTACCCTTGAAACGATCAAGGGATCCAACTTCTATTATGTTACGCGGTAATTACTTCCACAAACCAACAACTCTATTACCGAACCAGTATTTACCCAGGTCTTTCATCAATCTAAACTTATGCAATTTATTCCCATTGTTTCGTGTGTTATTTTGTGTTGATACTTTTAATACCCTTTTAATAATTACAGAAGCAAAGTATTTATTTAAAATACTACTTATTTCAATGTCTTTATCAGTCATCTGACCTGTCTCAGTTTTTAACGGCCATGTCTTTTTCCTAATTTTTATTTAAATAACTGAAAAACTTTAGGGTTGGTCTGTGCTTGCACTGCTTTATGTACGTCATAGTTACTTGTTGCTTTCCTTATGTCTGTTTTAACATTTCTAAATAGTTTGAAAATTGTTGCTCTGGAATGTAGATTGACCTCTAGATATATATATATATATATATATATATATATATATATATATATATATATATATATATATATATATATATATATATATATATATATATGTCGTACCTAGTAGCCAGAACTCACTTTTTGGTCTACTATTCAAGGCCCGATTTGCCTAATAAGCCAAGTTTTCATGAATTAATTGTTTTTCGACTACCTAACCTACCTAACCTAACCTAACCTAACTTTTTCGGCTACCTAACCAAACCTAACCTATAAAGATAGGTTAGGTTAGGTTAGGTAGGGTTGGTTAGGTTCGGTCATATATCTACGTTAATTTTAACTCCAATAAAAAAAAATTGACCTCATACATAATGAAATGGGTAGCTTTATCATTTCATAAGAAAAAAATTAGAAAAAATATATTAATTCAGGAAAACTTGGCTTATTAGGCAAATCGGGCCTTGAATAGTAGGCCAAAAAGTGAGTTCTGGCTACTAGGTACGACATATATATATATATATATATATATATATATATATATATATATATATATATATATATATATATATATATATATATATATATGCAGAATAACCACATATGAAAAATAGAAAATGCTTAACGCGTTTTCGGCTAATTCGCCTTCATCAGAGCAAAGTAGAATCTACTTTCTTTCTTTCTTTGATTCTACTTTGCTCTGATGAAGGCGAATTAGCCGAAAACGCGTTAAGCATTTCTATTTTTCATATGTGGTTATTCTGCATACTTGGATCAGTGTTTTTGTGATCATTGTTGCATATATATATATATATATATATATATATATATATATATATATATATATATATATATATATATATATATATATATATATGTCGTACCTAGTAGCCAGAACGCACTTCTCAGCCTACTATGCAAGGCCCGATTTGCCTAATAAGCCAAGTTTTCATGAATTAATTGTTTTTCGACTACCTAACCTACCTAACCTAACCTAACCTAACTTTTTCGGCTACCTAACCTAATCTAACCTATAAAGATAGGTTAGGTTAGGTTAGGTAGGGTTGGTTAGGTTCGGTCATATATCTACGTTAATTTTAACTCCAATAAAAAATAATTGACCTCATACATAATGAAATGGGTAGCTTTATCATTTCATTAGAAAAAAATTAGAGAAAATGTATTAATTCAGGAAAACTTGGCTTATTAGGCAAATCGGGCCTTGCATAGTAGGCCGAGAAATGCGTTCTGGCTACTAGGTACGACACATATATATATATATATATATATATATATATATATATATACTTCTTATCTCCTGTTCTGCTTCATGTGACATTCATTGTATTTTAAAAATAGGATCTCAGATGACTATGTTTATCAGTGGTTTACAGTTGCTCAGGGATCGTTGGTGTACAGTTGCTCAGGGATCGTTGGTGTACAATTACTCAGGGATCGTTGGTGTACAGTTGCTCAGGGATCGTTGGTTTACAGTTGCTCAGGGATCGTTGGTTTACAGTTGCTCAGGGATCGTGTATTTAGTCTCTAAATAATGATTTAACTGGAATATCTGTTGAGGGAGTTGCGGAACACAGCTCCTGACCACTGAACAACTGCGCTCAATAACACAGGAAACAAGAAGGAAAAAAATTGCTGATATTACGTAATACATCCCCGTGAACAATTGAGGATGGCCAGGAGTATACCAGGAAAATACTATATGCGTTGAATGACTCGTCATCCGTCTGGCAGCAAGTGTAGGTGTGACGGGTGTGGTAGTCGTACGGCCGGCAGCAACCCCAAGTATAAATACGGCAGGTGGGCGCTGCTGGCAGATCAGTTTCACTCGCGCCGTGGAGGAAGTGTGTGTGTAGTTCTGCCATCCCTGTGATACTGGTACTGATTTTTTGTCTGTGCCTCCTGGTGAATATCTATATATACGTAAGTATCTCCCCGAGGACACGTTAGTGTTGGTATGAGTGGAGTATGTTATAGGGTGGGAGGCGTGACCACCAGGCTGGGACAGGTGGTGAAAGTGAAAGTCACACCAGCTTCCAGGCCCGGCTGGTGACGTCACCCACTCTTCACCAACCAAAATACATTTATTTAAGCAGAGACAACTCAGGTCAGGTCAGAAATGTACAGGATAACGCAGTAATGATGACCACGGGTAAACTAGGTATATTACAATAGTTGGTATGGACATTAGAGCAGAGGAGTGGGCGCGTAATGTTAGAGGGTTGTACAGCGAGACGTGACCAGTGTTCCCCGGAGTTGTTCTTCAAACACACAAACTCTTAATTTATTGTTAAATTAATATTTAAGGGCAAGAATTTTGGTGAAGGTCTTCTGTCCGCGCCTGTCAGGCCAGGCTGTGGGTCCCTGCTGGTACAGTATGTGTGTGTGTGCGTGTGTAGGTGCAAGTGTGGGTGTGTTTTGAGTGCGTGTTTATTGAGTGTGTGTGTGTTTTGAGTGCGTGTTTATTGAGTGTGTGCGTGTGTGTGTACTCACCTATTTGTAACTGCAGGATTGAGCCATAGCTCTCGGACCCTGCGTCTCTTGCCTCCCATTGTCAAATGCAATGACTCTGGACCTATTTCCCAATGATATCTCTCTAAAATTATAAATGGAGTTTGCTTTTGCAACTTGTTCTTTTAGTTCACGCCATTTCCCCACTACTCTTACGCTAATAGAGAACTTTCTATCATCTCTATGACTCATACGAGTCTCAACCGTGCCCCCATAACAGTGCCCCCTTAACTGTGCCCCCTTAACCGTGCCCCCTTAACTGTGCCCCCTTAACTGTTCTGTTGGTGTTCATTGTGAACATTTCCTCTTTTTCCAGTCTGACGATCCTTCTATGTATTTTACACATCGCTACCATGTCTTCCCTCTCCTATTTTTTCTAGCATCGTCAGGTTTAGTTCCTTCAGTCTCTCTTCGTAAATAGTTACGTGTACTCATCTAGTTATGTTTACCGGGGGTTGAGCTTAGGCTGTGTGTGTGTGTGTGTGTGCATGTGTGTGTTTAGAGAAGAGAGAGCGTACATGTGTGAAGAGGAGAAAGTATGTTGGTTGAGTTATAAGTGTCCGTTTCTCTTTCTATGTATGAAGGTATCAGTATTTTATGTGTATGTGTATTTCTGAATGTGTGTTTGATTGTATCTTTGTGGATATCTGCCAGTGTGTGTGAGTATCTGCCAGTGTGAAAGTACCTTCCAGTGTGAAAGTACCTTCCAGTGTGAGTATCTGCCAGTGTGAAAGTACCTTCCAGTGTGAGTATCTGCCAGTGTGAAAGTACCTTCCAGTGTGAGTATCTGCTAGTAAGTGTGTGTATACCAGTGTTTGTGGATATCTGCCAGTGTGAGTATCTGCTAGTAAGTGTGTGTATGCCAGTGTGAGTATGAGTATTTGTCACCGTGTGTATGAGTGCCTGCCAGCCTGTGTATGAGTATCTGCCAGCGTGTGTATTGAGTGTTTGCCACCGTGTGTATTTAGTAACTGCAAGCGTGTGTATTGAGTGTCTACTAGCGTGGGTATGAGTATCTGGCAGCGTGTGTGGGTATCTGTCGGCCTGTGTATTGAGTAACTGCCATCGTGTGTGAGTATCTGTCAGCGTGTGCGTTGTGTAACTGCAAGCGTGTGAGTATCTGCCGGCGTGTGGATGAGCACAGACCAGTACAGTACGCCCAGTACAAACCCATCACTTGAGAATGAACCATGTAGGTTCGAAACGTTGTGTAAATTTATAATTAATGTAACACATTTTACAGTTAATTATTCTTTTAGTTTACCTCGAACAAAGATGACATTGGGAGTAATCCTCTTCCAATTAAACTAAGATACAGTGGGGGGGGGGGGGGGGGGGGGGGGAAATAGCCTAAGCAACTCTTTCCCTTTGAGATGTATTTCTTTCTTGTCTCATTAAACATACTTGAACTAAGATGCAAGAGCACTAGTCAGCTAGGATAGAAGCCCTTAACAAGAAAATAATCAACACAGAATATGCAGTCATATTCAATGAAACGTGTGTGTATATATATATATATATATATATATATATATATATATGTATGTATATATATATGTATATATATATATATATATATATGTATATATATATATGTATATATGTGTATATATATATATATGTATATATGTGTATATATATATATATGTATATATGTGTATATATATATATGTATATATATGTATATATATGTATATATATATATATATGTATATATATGTATATATATATATATATATATATATATATATATATATATATATATATATATATATATATATATATATATATATATATATATATATATATGCGAACAAGCCTGAATGGTCCCCAGGACAATATGCAACTGAAAACTCACACCCCAGAAGTGACTCTAACCCATACTCCCAGGAGCAACGCAACTGGTATGTACAAGACGCCTTAATCCACTTGACCATCACGACCGGACAAAATGAGGTGATAGCCGAGGCTATTTGAACCACCCCACCGCCGGCACTCGGATAGTAATCTTGGGCATAGCATTTTACCAAATCATCTGGGGTGTGAGTTTTCAGTTGCATATTGTCCTGGGGACCATTCAGGCTTGTTCGCATTTGTGTTCCTCACGTGTGCCCCAAAGAATGAGGTGATTTGGTAAAATGCTATGCCCAAGATTACTATCCGAGTGCCGGCGGTGGGGTGGTTCAAATAGCCTCGGCTATCACCTCATTTAGTCCGGTCGTGATGGTCAAGTGGATTAAGGCGTCTTGTACATACCAGTTGCGTTGCTCCTGGGAGTATGGGTTCGAGTCACTTCTGGGGTGCGAGTTTTCAGTTGCATATTGTCCTGGGGACCATTCAGGCTTGTTCGCATTTGTGTTCCTCACGTGTGCCCCAAAGAATGAGGTGATTTGGTAAAATGCTATGCCCAAGATTACTATCCGAGTGCCGGCGGTGGGGTGGTTCAAATAGCCTCGGCTATCACCTCATTTTGCCCGGTCGTGATGGTCAAGTGGATTAAGGCGTCTTGTACATACCAGTTGCGTTGCTCCTGGGAGTATGGGTTCGAGTCACTTCTGGGGTGTGAGTTTTCAGTTATATATATATATATATATATATATATATATATATATATATATATATATATATATATATATATATATATATATAGAAACCTGAATGGTCCCAAGGCATATATGCAACTGAAAACTCCACACCCCAAAGTGACTGGAACCCATACTGCCCATACTATGCAACTGGTGTACAGGAGACCAGTCATGTGAATCATTACAAGCTCTTAGGTGTAACAACAATGCATTGTATTCTTGACGTGTCCTTATGCAATATTTGTGTGGCTGGTCTATCCCCAATCAGCCATATCTTGGCTGACAACTTGCTGATTGACAACAATCACTTGCTGACAACTACTCAAGTGCTGTAAGAGTTCTTCCTGGTGGCCGCGTGGGCGTTTAGCTCCCACCTCTGCCCGCTGGTGGTCCTAGTTTAACCAGTCTGCCCTTGTCCCCTCTGGCATTATCTCGGAGTATTTTGTACATCGTGATCATGTATTATTATACTGCCATCTTCCAGTGTGTTTAGGTCCATCTCATGTAGTGCTTCGTCAAGACTGCACAGTTCCAGTACTAATGGTAGGTGAGGACCTCATGCATGTGTTGCATAAGAACAAAGGTAACTGCAGAAGGCCTATTGGCCCATACGAGGCAGCTCCTATCTATAACCATCTATAACCCACTCATATACTTGTGCAACCCGCGCTTGAAACAATCGAGGGACCCCACATCCACCACGTTACGCGGCAATTGGTTCCACAAATCAACAACCCTGTTACTGAACCAGTATTTACCCAAGGCTGTCCTAAATCTAAACTTATCCAATTTATACCCATTGTTTCGTGTTCTGTCTTGTGTTGATATTTTTAATACCCTATTAATATCCCCCTGTTATGTCCATTCACCCACTTGTAAACCTCTATCATGTCACCCCTAACTCTTCGCCTTTCCAGTGAATGCAACTTAAGCTTTGTTAATCTTTCTTCATATGAAAGATTTCTAATTTGGGGAATTAACTTAGTTATCCTACGTTGGACACGTTCAAGTGAATTTATATCCATTCTATAATACGGCGACCAAAACTGAACTGCATAATCTAAATGGGGCCTAACCAGAGCAAGATATAGCTTAAGAACCACACCAGGTGTCTTGTTACTAACGCTTCGATTAATAAATCCCAGTGTCCTATTCGCCTTATTACGAACATTCATGCATTGATCCTTTTGTTTTAAATTCTTACTAGTCATAACTCCCAGATCCCTTTCGCAATCCGACTTCGCAATCTCAACACCATATTGGAGACACGTATAGCAAGCTGGTGGTGGCAGTGCTCATGTATGCCATCCTTGCCTGTGCTCTTGGTGTCCAGTTTGTGTGCTGCTCCAGACACTTTATATATAAGACTGGAGCCTTACGCTACACCCGCCCGTCATTACTGTGTACTAGGCTAGAAGGGGTTGAACTCCGTATGTCACTTCTGGAGTAATGTGATAATCAAAGTTAAGCAGAAGTCGTCTATTCCTACCTCATCATCTTTGCATCATGGGCATGTAGAATTCTATGGTTTCTATTGGATATTTAGGTTAAAAGTCTTGGGAGAGTATGCGTCAAGGGATTCACCTTGCTAATTTCTCCACTAAACTTCATCCCAGAACTTTTTGAATTTCTGAAGTTGTTCCCTCAGTATTCATGATTTTTTCAGCTGGGATTCTGTCATTACATTGATGAGTTTAGCTTTGGTGATTAAGACTAAACCTAGTCTATGTCAACCCAGAACACTTGTCAAGTTGTGTACAACATCCTAATACTTTAATTAGTAATGCAACATGCAATAAGTGTCGAGCTATCAGTAGTTGTTTGCAA